TCTCACATTGTAAATCATTTTACATAGGATAATCAAAAAAGTACTTATTTCTAGTTATCACCGACAATAACCATCTCATTACTGTATGGAGTTTGTTATTCACCTTTCTGACATGGTAGAATAATGTCAATCCATAAACGCTTCAATGAAAATTGTACATCAAACAATTACAGGAACTATAATTATTTTCTTTCACTTTATTTTAATTGTTGCAAAAATAACTAATGAGTAATTCACGCACAACCTTTGTTAGCATATTTTGATATACTATTTAGGTAATTGCCATATTGTAGTAAACGAGATAACAAGTGGGGACAATCGAATGTGTTTCAACACAAAATTACAGAATATCTCGGTAAAATCTGAGAACCATACAAGAAATACTTCATTTGTAAAATGCATATCAATCGCTTCAGATTTTATCGTTCCTTCATCTCCATACCAATTACTCTCTGTTCTCGTTCTATTTTCTTCGACCTTCTTAATCTCCTGCCACCAGGCATTTCACTTTTGATTGATGATACATACTACCTATATCTGTTGATATCAGTAGCACACACCATACCATCAATGTCAAAATAAAAAAATATAGTCAGCCTACCAAGCATTCTTAGTTATTAATCTAAGGAAGCTACATGATTCTGTTGCATCGTACAGATGATAGTGTAAACAACTTGAAAGTTGTGCCTTTTATATACATATTGAACGTGCAGGACAAAACAGTCGTCCAGTACTTTCTGATTTTTAACGGTTGTCTAACTTGAGCGAACTCGTCATGGAAAATTATAACATCAAACATCCAAAAAAATCGTAGTTGATTATAAATAAAATTAAGTCATCTATGAATGGAATTATAATTAACTTAGATAATAAACACTTTCATACAAACAAATCAGTCCTACTTAAATCATGGACACATGTTTGAAAAACCATAATAAATAGAATTTTTTATTTTATTTTCAAATGTGGGAACTGTCTTTACAAAATAGAAACATATATCTTTTTGTTGTAATATTTCCACAATAAATCAAAGAAAAAATTCAGAATATCATCCATACTATATGATAATTGGAAACATAATGCTTTATTTCTAGAACTACATGTATACATAAGTCAGTGAAACATGTTCTTTTCACCTCCTTAGTTTTCATTGGTTATGCTTAGTATGTTATGAATGTATAAGGGTTCTAAATGTCAATAGTCTAAACGTTACTATCACATTTTTGTCCATATCATTTAGTTATTATGATTTCAATAAATTGTTTTTTGCAGGATGTTTTATTTATTTACCTATTTATGAAATGGATTCGATCGAAGTCTGATAATGAAATGAATTTAAAATGAACATGGCTTTGAATGAATTACTTTTGATAGTATACTGTCGATTCTTATGTGTGTATTTTAAAAACAAACATTGTTTCATTAGAAGGCTAATCCGGTTTCAAGAGCCATATATATATATATATATATATATATATATATATATATATATATATATATATATATATATATATATATATATATATATATATATATATATATATATATATATATATATATATATATATATATATATATATATTTATATTTATAATTATTATCTAGCCACTATCCATCATTGCTTACAAAATGCTTGTGAATTAAGTTAATATCGAAGCATATGCACAGTATGCACATATGTCAATAACAGACTGATCAATTGCAGTCTTAAACCTCAATGGGGAGATACAAGCCAAACAATACCAAATGAATTATTATCTATTATTATTTAGATTATTTCTTATATTTTCTTTTACATTTTAATAATAAGAAATATAACATATATATATGAGATAGTGAATTTGTGCTAAGCTGTCTGATCATTCATATTCTTTATGTTAGTATCACTACCAAATAAGTACGAAATGCAAACATCATAAAAGATGAACACAGAGGAAATAATTTTTCTCAACTCATGAGCACATTCTAACATTCTTAACTTACAAATGATTTTGTAATAGTATATTCACGGCATATCGTTAAATGAGTCACAGTTAGGTGAGAAGATTTATCCTGGTTGGTAGCAACACCAAATGTACATCCAGCTGACGAGTTCCAAACAGGACGAAACTCGCGTTCTGGATCCCACTGCTAGTCATTATCCATCTGTGCTTATAATGCTTTAAAATTAAGGCAATATCGAGGTATTACGCTCGGTATGCACATATGTCAATAAGAGACTGATGAATTATAATCATAAACATAAATGGGAAGATTCAAGTAAACAATATCAAGTGAATTAGATCAGAGTTATAGTTAACAAAAGTCAAACGTTGATAGTATCGCTGACAAACTGGAACAATTATCATAATAAAATGTTTCCAATTATCCAGTAAGGAAGTAATAAAGACAGTTTGTGTACTTCTCTAAATAAACTGAGAATATAACACTTCACACTACAAAAGAATACTAACTGCTTATAGCCTACATAACTCAATAATTCCTTCAACCTGAAAACAATTTAGTCAAACTTGAAATTTGAATATTGTTTAACATTAGTAAGTAGAATAAAGGGGTATATTCATAAGAAAAAAGTCCAACGCGCCGTTCCAAGTGTTAAAACAGTTACTCATTTCAAGTACGACGACACAATTGAAGTTATCTGATAAAGATACTGTTGTGAATAATAAAAGTATAATATCCTCTAAATTTCAGCATAGTATATTCTATCTGTTATTTTTTAAAGTCGAACCTACTTGAAAATCAGCATGTTCAGCTTCAAGCCCCCAAATACTTTTAAACAGCCGACAGTGGTGGGGGCCCGCTCTCCCTCTCGAGATGCTCTCACATGGCCACGCGTATATAGCTTCTGTCAGGGAAGTCCTACTCACTGACTTCCCGCAGCGCGGATGTTGGTTACGAAATTGAGAGGACGGAAAGCGAATATCCGGCGCTTTAACCGAACTGGTGGATATGGAGGATTCACCAAGGGGAGTTGGAAAACCCTGATTCCAAATCAATGGTGTACAAGGGCCCCAAGATCCTTAGGGAACAAATGGCGTATGAAACAATTATTGATCATTGGCTACCATGGGACTGCATCCTTTCACGTTGCTTCACTACCTTGTAGATTAGACCTTTAAGTCAAAGGCTCGGAGAGTGATCCCCTAAGAAAACCACCTGCTGCGGTCTGGACACCCGAACAGTATCACAGCCCATACACAAATCAAGTGACTAAATTAAGAGGAAGAGGGTTTGGTCAATGATTTAAAGTAAAATGCTTCAACTAATAACCCTATAACTTATCTTTATATTATTAAATATAATGAAATTCAAAAACCTGTAGTGTCGGTTATTATGTTAAGCCCATATGCTTTATTCTAGCTTTCGGACAACCCATTCTATTTATTCTACTCGAGTCACATTCTGACCTTGTTAATTATTCGCTTATCAATCTTGACTGTCTTTATATGAGCGCGTAGGTGTGCGTACACTTCTTATCCCATTACTCATCACATGTCTGTAACTTACTTTTGTGTAACTATAAATATTGATTAAAGCTTGGTTAAATGGGAGTTGGCTTACCAGCCATCTCCACTCTGCGTCGTTCCTCTTATCTCTATCCCATTCGCTTTATATACAAAATATATGTATTCACAAGTCCATTTTCGTTATTCGACTTATTTAATTCCGCTATTGACTAACGCGATTTAAGTCGATGATTATATACGAGGATAGGCAACATATATATTCCAATAAAAATCATTCATTACGATCTAATTGGAGTCAGAACCATAGGCCACAAAAAACCTCAGAGAAACATTTTTTGTGTACCATGAATTGTAAAAAAATATTTCTCATAACATAAATATTTTATGCATAATCAATGTTAAAATATTAATCTCAAATTGTTTATATTCCTTAGTGAGAAAAAAAAACAAAAAAAATTGAAAAGATATATATTTGTTTCACATTCCTGTTGGTCGAAAGAATTCATTGCCTTATCAACAATATATGTAACTTAGACAGTAATTACTTTCGATATTCTAATCACATTTATATTTTTGGAAAAAAATATTTAATTAGTTCTGCTAAAGAAAATTAGAATGAAATATTGATAGACTATAATTTCAGTTTACTTTTCATGGTCTATTTCTAATCATATAACAAGTTGTTAAGTTTGTGTTGAAGCATACTAACATAAAATGAAGTGAACTAGATAGTGGTGAACTATGGAAAAAGGGATTAAAACTCTTATTTGTAGGTGATTTTTTCGTAACATTTTTATATATTCAGTTATTTTCAATACAGACTAAATCAGAATCATAATTCAAGCAATTAGACATCTCATTCAAATAAATAATAATAAGCTCTATTCAATATTATATTTCTGGTACAATATAGAATCCTTAGCTCGAAATATTTCAACGATTTTCCTTTTCTTATTTCTTGATCGACCCTTACGATAAATATTGAGTGGTCACTTAAGGAATAGACATCTGATTAATGTATATTCTTTTCGATGTATATTACCAGTAATCACGATTTCTCTGATTAGGCTCTTTTTTAACTTGTACAGCAAAATGTCGTAAACTTTTCACAAATGCACTTAAATAGATTATGCGACTAATAGGCAAAATGATGTGTTAAAACAAACAAAACAGATAATTTGTTGAAATACCCAGGTGGCAGGAACACGTAGCCCAGATATTCAAGTAAGCTATTCACATAAACTCATACAACGAATCACAAGAGTAAAACCGTGACGATGTTGGATAAGATAATTGAAAAAATATGAGATTTTTGTTGAGTTATTGAATAAAAGCCTTAATAAAAGTGATCTATCAAACATCACATCAATTAGATATAATGCATAAGATACAACACTTTTGACATCCAGTAAAAATGATTAGGATACATTATTTGTGTGTGGATATTTCGGCTTTCCAATTGAATAATAGAACTAAATATTTCAATATAATCAGTAATAAAACTCAAATACGAGAAACGATTTCACTTACTTGAATTTTGATGATAAATAATAACATAATACATCACTACATATTATGATAACAGTCTGCTGTTTACGAGTCTTAGTTCTATATTATTTAAATTAATTGATAATCCGCTTTCATTAAGAGAAAACAGTTTCATGTGCTTATTTATTGAATAATAATAAAATAATGTTTATTGTATACATCTGCTTATTATATAGATAGATAGATAAATATCGATGTTATTCATTCACATGACCAGGAATGAGGAAATATTGAAACAGAATTGTCTCAAATATGATTGGTTAATCGGTTTATTTTTGTTTGGTTGTGAAAAATTTGTATCCTTTCGATTATTATGTTGACGATTTTGCCTTTTGGAAAACCTGTCTGTGAGTTTATTTGCATATATATATATATATGAGATATTATTTCAATAAAATAATATCATGGATTTCACTCTTGAAATATTCAAATGTTGCCTCATTTGTGTTACTGAATTTATTCTTCATGTTTAGCAAATAGAAATCAAATATCTAAATGCATTTTGTAGTTTATTTACAAATATTGAATGTCAACAGTTGAGATCATGAGTCGATTGAAGCTAGACCACCATGGAAAACCTGGAAGCACTGGACGGCCGTTTCGCCCTATTGTGGGACTCCTCAGCAGTGCGCATCCATGATCCCGCCTCGCTAGATTCGAACCCAGATTAACCACTAGACCACTGAGCCGGCATCCAGTGGTGTTGATGTCTAACTTCAAATGACTCACGATATCAACTATTAAAATTACTTTAATATCTACAAAACCCCTTCTGATACAAATATTGAATGATTTATCAACACAGTTTTCGTTTTATCACTAAAACTAATCAGTTTTCTAAATATCAATGTATAACTATTAAAGTAAATAATATAATGGCATATAGAAAGTCAATGATCGTACTGATCAATAACTACTAATTGCTAGATTTTTACAGCTTTAAAATTAATTCTCCATATTCTGTTGAAAAGTAGCTAATTAAAGTTTGATCCACATGGATAATTACTGATTGAAATAGGATTAGTTGAAAAATAAGTTTGATTTTGATTAGATGTAAAAATTTCCCTGTAACAATGAATTTTAATTTTGTTTAAATGGTAAATCCTAAATCAATATCATTTATTAGCAACATAGGTTATGATGAGATAACATTCAATGTAACTAAAATGAATATTGAGGCATGTTCGTAATATAAAATTTCAGAAGACAGCTTGCTTGTAACTAAAATTAAATTTCACATTTAGGAATACCACAAAAGGTAGATAAACATAATAGTTTATATCTTTATGTTTGATTACAGAGTAATCGTTCTAAGAGTTTGATGAATTGCCTTTTGCAACACTAAATACAATAGCCACCATCATATATTTTCTTGATTTATGAATAACATATTATAACTAATTCACTACATTTGAAATGAAGATAAAACGAACTCATTTGCAAAGAAATTCACAAATCTCAAGTGTCCTGACGATAACATTTTGATTTTTTTGGTTATGCTATTCGTAATTCGAAAAGAGTTTTTCAATTTGACAATGCTTTTTTTTCAAAAAGTCAAACTTCCCATCAGACATGGACATAAAAGACCATTTATTAAGAGCATAATGTAAGATAGATAAATTCATTCATAAAACAGGAAAATGAGTCATATCAAAGTTCTATCAGTTTTTAGTTTCTCAGTCAAATATTTACGCTTATGCAAATGGCTATTAAATTTATCTAGAAAATAGAACTCCAGTAACATGATAATAAACAACTTGGTGACCACACAATCTTTTTATTTTTTAAAATGACAGTGGGGATTGAAACAATTTTATTGCAATCAACCATAAAATTGGAACTTTTACGCTAAATAGGCAACAAGGAATTAGAATTTTTTTAAAGTAATGGGATTTTAATATTCATAATTTCGTAGTTATATTTGATGACTGGAATGTTATTTAATTTTTTAATTGTTTCAAATGTACATGTTCAGTATATTTGCAAATGAAAGTGGTGATCAGTAACCGACGGTAAATAGAAATAAAGATCAAACAGTAATGTTAACAATCCATTAATATTCTCAGTTCTTCATGATAAATGAAATTCAACATTTTGATACTCGCTGAAAAGAATTCAAGGCTCAGTAAACAGGCAATTACAATGAAAGATGTATCTAACTATGATGGTTTATTGAGATATTTGATAACAAACATCATTTCATAGAGTCAGTTCAACAGTATAAGTAGTTGGGAATGTTTTTACCATATATTTAATAACATTATCTTGACAGGCAACTACACCCCACTAACCTCTTACAAACACGTATTCAGACAGCTATGTTTTTTCTAATTTTGATGTTGATGACATACTTCCTAACTCATTTTGTAGAATATAGAATCTTTAGCATTATCCATCCCAATATTACGTGTAGGTAATATACTGTTACTCAAAACTACAAACTTTTTTCACAAATAACAGTAACATACGAAAGTCGATAAAATACAATTAACTTATCGTGATATTTGTACGTGTTTATGTTTTCAACTCTCGTTGTATCATATTTAAACACTTGATGTCTACGTACATCCTGCCTCGTACACTATTTAATACAATATTCATGCTTATTGATAATAATTTATAAAACCTTCATTCAAATTCATTAGCATCCAAATATTTTTATCCGTTTGAAATTAAAATGTAGCTTCATGTTGCAAATGTTTCATTCATATTGTGTATTTAAAAATAATTATAGAGTTAATAGGTTTGACTGTTCTTGAGTGGACGTGTTTAATGTTGAAGACTTATATCTAGCATAGCCTATTATATTAGTCTGTTGAGTTCATTGATTGTAGCTAATTTCGCTGCAAAAACACTTTTTTTCGACGCAAAACGTTAAACAATTGGCTTTACTCCGCTTCATGGCTCATAACTCAAAATTTCAATGAAATACAGATTTATGCAGAATAGAGTTGCAATTTTTACTAAAAAATATTTAGAAGCAGAAACAGTCCACTCTTCCTTGACAATCCCGTTTGCTAGACACCAGTAGTTCTCTTTTCTTCTTGAAAGAGAACATGAAGCACCCTATTTGTTAATTTTATCTTTGATTTCGGTCCTGAATGTGACGCTAATTTAGTTCTTACAACAAAATATACAAATTGAAACTAAGGTAGAAATGCCCACAGTAGGCAATAATTTAATAAGAAAGTGATCTGTAGCAACAATACTAACACAGGTAAAAGTAATAACAATAAATTTACTGATGGTAAATATGGAAATGTCAAAGTTTAGATCAGATAATGAATAACTCACACAACCATACAAGCAATCAATCATATGCAGACAGCTTATGTAAATCTAGATACATATTAATCATTTTATTTAGCAAGTCAAATAATTCACTTTATTTTCACATATATGCACACCTTTTGATCATTACAGGCTTGTCTTATAGTCATTACAGTAATTATGTAAATCTCTAGGTTTTTGTTTAAGTGATGAAGGGTGGTAGTATGTTTTAAATAAAAATAATAATTTACGACTACTGACCAAGTAAAAAAAACTGAGCAAACATTACCGGAATCTCGGAAAACAGTATTAAAGTATCATTAAAAAATAGTCTTAGACATTAGTAAATGGCGAATTTATGCTGCCAGAAGCTTAAAACATATAATAATAATAATAATTTATATTATGAAAATAATAATTACAGAATTCACGCCAGTTTACAGGCATGATCAATTTGATATAAATAGTAACGTTAGACGTGCAGAACAAACATGTGATAGAAGAAAGTTTTAAGTATAATAGTTCAGTAGTTGTTTAAGTAGTACATATATTACAGCGATCCAATGCATCAGCCGGGAATTTTTAATATTTCTTAAATGGACAGCCTGTTGATTTATTAACGGAGTAATTAAGGTAAATTATTGTGCCAGATAGAATTAATGATAATTATCTACAACTAGAGAAATTAAAACGAAAACAGAAAGCACAGAACAACAAAGCAGTAATTACCAAAATATGTCAATCAGGTGTACCGAAATGCATGTGTCACGTGACACAGTGATATACCGTTGACGTTAGATATTATTCAAATTAGTTAAAGTTGCTAGGGACGGTGTTAACATAAAGTGATAGCAAGTAGGTTGTTTTACTTAGGGAATGCACTAATAAAAATGGCTAAAAATTTAAAGTTCCTATAATATCACTTGTGGAATGAGATACACTTGCAGGTGCTAAACCATTCAATGCATTTTCAGAGGAGCAGTATGCATCGATGCAGTGAACAAATAATGGGAGTGATTTTACCGTGCGGATAGATTGTGGTAGGTTATTCCATAGTCTAGAAAATTTACAGGTGAAGTAATTCATATAAAGAGATGATTTAAAATAAGTTTGTTTCACTAGTGCCAAAGAATTACGGATGTCATAATGAGAAGTTTCTGCATATTGAATCGCGTGATTGGATGTAAACGATAGTTTATGAAGTAGTTTGAAGAAAAAGATAAGATTTAGTTTGAGTCTCCTCCTCCATAAATGGTCTAGCCCAAGTTTATTACATCTAGAATTATAAGTTAAGGTACAATCAGCTCCAAGAATACGAAGTGTAAATCGTCTCTGTACTGATTCCAGCCTTAATTTATCTTTTATGAGAGCAGTGCTAAGAATAAACGTGCAATATTCTAGAAGTGGTCGAGCACAAACTTTGTACATTAGAATACATGACTCATTGTTGTAAAGATTTCGAGTTATGTAACCTATTAGACGTTGAGACTTAGAGGTCTGTTTTAATATATGTTCTGTAAACAAGTCTTGGGAATATCTGCGTCCTAAGTCTACTACTGTATGTAACCTAGATAACACTTCTCCATTTATGGTAATGTCTAGGTTGAGTGATGTATCGCCGAAGCATATCCATCCACATTTAGCCGTATCTTAACGATTCTTAAGATTTTATACTTTTTGGTCATATTATTGTTATCAAAGCTAAAAGTTACGATTTACATTGTATGACTGACATTTCATTGTACATCAGTAACATGTGAATAAAGTGTAATTATTCTCTAATGATCTAGGTCAATATTCAAGTAGTTATGTGGGAAGAGATGTTGACAATATATAATGGCTTATAAAATATGGTGAATTAATACATGGACATGTATTCT